GCAGGTCCTAGACAATGCTCAGAGGACACTCTACAGGAACGTGATGTTGGACACCTACAGCAACCTGGTGTTCGTGGGTCAGTGACACTTGCAGGAACAGAAGAGCTTCTCTTGGTGTAGGAAATGCACCAACCATTTCTGACTTATTACTGCCTTATTACATGCTTTGACACAAAGTAGTAGCACATCCCTATAACACATTACAGTGTGGCAGATCAGTAGACAAATAACAAGTTACAATGACCAGGTCTCAATTATTGGCTAGTCTTATCAGTTTAAGCAAACACAACTTCTTTGGACATGGAACAGGTAACATCCTTTGCACTGGCTGTTCTGAAATATTCAATTAGTGGTGGTCACTCATAGTTAGGCTAATATGCTTTGCCACATTGCAAATTATTCTGCATCTTTTACAGCCAGTAAATACTTGCATTATATAATCAGGTATTCAGTATTGGCTGTGCATGTCTATCATTATACTGGACCCTTTTTGAATTGACCTTTTTTGGTATGTGGTAGTGCTGAGACTTGAACTCAGGACCTGGGCTCTGTCTGTCCCTTAGCTGCTTCACACAAGGCTGGTGTCCACTACTTGAGCCACAGCTCCACTTATAGCTTTTTGGTGTTCCTTGGAGATGAGTCTCGTAGACTTTCCTGCCTGGGCTAGCTTAGAATTGCAGTCCTCAGATCTCAACCCCTTAAATAGCTAGGCTTACAGGTGTGAGCCATCAGTGCCCAACTGAATTATGATCATCTTTTGTTGTTATTGTTGGTGGTGGTGGTGGTCATAGGGCTTGAACTCTGGGCCTGAGCACTGTCCCTCAGCTCTTCAGCGCTCCACCACTTGAGCCACAGCGCCACTTCCAGTTTTCTAGTGGTTTATTGGAGATAAGAGTCTCACGGATTTTCCTGCCTGGGCTGGCTTTTAACTGTGATCCTCAGATCTCAGCTTCCTAAGTCACTAGGATTACAGGTGTGAGCCACCAGCGCCCAGCTCATCATTTTATACTGACCTTTTTTTCCTCTTTGCACTTCTTAATTTTTAAAAATGTACCATATTAAATGACAGCAGTTTCGTCTATCTGTTTGTTTCCACTTGCACAGTTTATCTTTTCCACACCTTCCCTTTGACTCTATGTGCATTTTTCCTGAAATGGGTTTTTTTTAGGCAGATAACCATGGCATCTAAGTTATTTTTATGCCATTCAGTGAGTCTATATCTTAAGTTCTGTGATTAGAATTTCATCTGGTTAAATCAAATTTACAAAGACTTGATACTCTGTTACTTTTTTCTAATTGTTTTGCATATTGTTTTCCTTTTTCCTCCCCTTAATCTTTTTTTGTCTGCTTGATGTTTGTATGGATAGGGTTTATTCTTTGAGTGTCTGCTTCTGTCATTGAGTTTATAAATTCTTATGTTTTCATGGTGGCAATTATGCCTTCTAGTAAAAGGACGTACTTAAATATTTCTTGTAAATCTGACCTAGTGGTAGATCTCCTGACATTTCTTTCCTAGGTAAGGTGTTTATTTGATTCTATTCTGAAGGAAAGATTTTTAGGATAAAATATTCTCAGGGGGAAACTTTCAAGACTTTTTGCATAGCCTCTTGTGTCTATTCTGTTTTCTGCTGTCCTCTAGTATTTTTTTATAAGTGACGTGGTGCTTTTTGCTATTTTTAGAATTTTCTCACTGCTGTGTACTTGTGATGAGTTGAGGAAAATATATCTCAGAGCCTTTATTAGCCAAAAAAATGGGAGTTGTTTAAGCTTCCTGGCCTCTATATCCATATCTCTCCCTTGGGTGACAATTCTTTTGTTGAATACCTGTTTGATATCCTTTTCCTTCCCTGACTGGAGCATCTGTAGTGCAAATGTTAACTTGGTTATGTTGGTCTGTGTATGAAAGACTTTGTCTTACTTCTTACCTTATATCTTTTTTATTAATCCACCTGAATTATTTTAAAGTAACCTATCTTCACTCTTAAGATATTGATTCTTCTAATTAATTCTGCCTGGTTACTTCTCCTGTTAAGTGTTCTAGCTGTTAGTTTTTGTTTACTTGCTTGTTTGTTCTTTGCATGTTTTTTTTTAATATATGAGTTCTTTATTCCCAAATTCCTGGTTGGTTCTTTTCTGCTGTGTTTTCTTAGAGTTTTGAGAGAGTCTTGTGATGTTGTACTTGTGTCTCAGCTTCCTAAATGCTGGGGTTACAAGAGTACCTCACCACAGCTAGTTCCCATTTGTTCTTTATGTACTCTGTCTCTTTTCCAATATCTCCTATACATCATAAGTTACCCTTCTAATTTTATTGTGCCACCTCTCGTTTATTCTGATTCCTCCCTTAGCACTTTTCCCATTTTTTTTAATTTACATCAGTTATTTGTGGACAGAAATTTTATTTTGGCATGAAATATATGTGCAAACCATACAAATTGATCAGAATATGTCCTCTGACACTCTCCCTCATCACACTTCCAAAAACAACTCCAACAAGTTTCCTTGTTCCATCTTTACACATAATATTTTTTCATATTCCACAGAGTACTAAAGTATCTTGACCATATTTATCAACCTTCATTCTCTGTCTGCTCTCCCACTAGTACCCGCCCCCAAGATGTTTGTTTTCTTAAATTCATCATTGTAGGTTATTTCCCATACAACTTTTTTTGACAAATTAAGGATCAAACTAATAGCCTTACCTATACTAGATCTACTAGTATAGTAGATTTTAAACTGTAGCCATGATGATTGAGAGTGTATGCTTTCTCTAAAGTTTAAATTTGGTCCCATCACCACACACTTGATAAATTGGAGATGTCTGCTCCGTGGATCTGACTTAGCATTTGCAATGAATCTTAAGCTATTTTGCATTTACAGGGCACTGCAGTACCAAACCAGAGTTAATCTTCAGGTTGGAGCAAGGAATTGAGCCAGCTATGGCAGCAGAAGGTCTATACCGGAGCCTTTCAGGTCAGTCATTGCGCACAAGAAGGAGGATCAGGAGGAGGAGAGGTAGCTCGTCAGATCCTGGCCATGGTGAGCTGTGTTCTAACACTGCAGCAACATTAGGTTTCCAAGGCAGATTGTCACATGTAAAACCATCCCTGTTGGGTTGCCTGCTTTGTTTTGCTCCCGTGTTAGCTCCTTACCACATGTCTGTTTGGTTGTGTCATAGGCTCTGATCTTTATAGCTGTATGATGCTAGAAGAAATCAAACATGTGTATATCCTCTTATAGAACTTACATCTTTCTGAGGGAGAAAGGGGACACAAAGATAAAATTATTTGGTATTGAGATAAGAGCCACAAAGACTAAGAAGAAAACAAAATCACTAGATAAATTGTTAGCTCTTAAAGGAAGACTATTAAAGAGATTGTTCCTTATTAATTTTGAAGTGAGTACTTTCAAAATTTGGTATATAACATGTAGGGATGAATAAGATGTAGACTTCTGTTGTCATGATTATAATGTAAATACAAATTAGGGAATCAGTAGCTTGAAACGAGTATTTAGGTCATATTTATTGAGGCAGACACTTAAGTGGAGCTGATAAAATGAGGAAGAAAGCTCCAGATCAAGCCCTGTGTGCCATACACATTGCACATTGCAGAATTTATGGAGTTATGGATTCCTATGGTAACAGATGATGCACATTTCATAGGTGTAGAACAACAACTAAAAGAGAATGTAGCACTGAAAATCTCCCAATGCCATGTTTTATTTATCACCAGGTACAAAATCCTTAAGTCCATATTATTTTAAAATCTTACACTATTAGGTAATGGTGATACTACATTTATGTTAGAGTTGCAGAATGTTTGATGTGCTTTGTTGGTACTGATGATTTTCATGTCATTTTAGCTGTCCAGAAAATGAATGGTCCACTTGACATTGGCCAGGAAAATCCAGAGAGAGATTTGCAGGAAGTTGTGATGATGAACAATAGTAGTACATCAGCTGAACACACAGTTAAAGTAGGCAGAATATTTCCTCTGAACTCAAACCCTACCTCAAATCTGAACAGAAACAGTGGGTGCTATTCAGTAGCGATGCCTGGAGGGCTCTGTGTAAGCCGGAACGTGCTACACCATGGTGGGCTTGAGGACCTGCACCCTGGACAGGAACCTGACGCTCTTAACGAGAAACCACTCAGGTATCCAGAACATTCCAATGTACAGAATAAGATTCAAAGTTCACAAAAGTATTTTCAATATTTAGAGCCAGGAAAGGCTAATGCAAGGATGACATTGACACCTAAGAAGTCTCAGCTGCAACACACTTGGAGTAAGTTTCACGAATATAAGAAACCCTTTGAGCAGGTATCACCTGTAGCCCAAAAAGTAGCCCGAGTTCTGAAGGAATCTTTTGGATGTAATATGTGTGGGATAGTTTTCTGTAACATGTCTGAGCTTAGTGACCACGAGGAAGCCCACAAAGGAGAGAAATTGTACAAACCTAGTAATGGTGAGGAATCTTTCCACAAGAAATCACACCTCATAAAACAAGAAGAAACACACACAGTGGAAGAGCACCAAGAGCATACACAATGCAAGAGATTCTGCGAGAGGTCAGAAGTAAGCGGTGATCAGCAGGTGTCCACTAGGGAAAAACTTACTAGATGTAAAATCTACAGAAAGCCCTTTTCCCAGAAGGCAAACCTCCAAGCTTACGAGAGAACTCACATAGGTAAGGAGTCCTATGAGTGTAAGAAATGCAGGGCATTTTTCTGTTACAAGTCCCACCTTACAGAGCATCAGAGAAATCACACAAAAGAAAGACTGTACAAATGCGATGAATGTAGGAAATTGTTCAGCCATTGGACCTCCCTTCTCACACATCAGAAAATCCATACTGACGAGAGACCTTATCAGTGCGGAGAGTGTCAGAAAACTTTCCGTTGTAAGTCATACCTCATTGTGCATCAGAGAACTCACACCGGTGAGAAACCCTATGAGTGTCCAGAATGTAGGAAGAGGTTCAAAAGTTTATCTTCCCTCACGATGCACCAAAGGACCCACACAGGTGAGAAGCCCCATCAGTGTGACAGGTGTCCCAAAGCATTCTGCTCTAAGTCCCTCCTCACGGTCCACCTGCGACACCACACGGGTGAGAAACCCTACGAGTGTCAGGAGTGCAGGAAGGCTTTCTATTCCGCATCCAGCCTCCGTGTGCACCGGAAAACGCACACAAATGAGAGGCCCTATGAGTGTGCGCACTGTAAGAAGATGTTCAAATGCGCTTCATACCTCTCCATCCATCAGAGGATTCATACCGGTGAGAAGCCCTACCAGTGTTCTGAATGTGGCAGAGCCTTTGTGTGGAAGTCATGCCTCACCGTCCACCAGAGAGCTCACAGCAGTCAGAAGCCCTACGAGTGTGAGGTGTGTAAGAAAGCATTCAAAGCTCTGAAGTCCTTGCATGTGCACCAGCGACGTCACGTGGGTCAGATGGCCCTGTGAATGAGATGAATGTAAGACAACACTGTCCCTGTCCCTCACTGTACAAAGTGTAGGGATATCATATAGCTCAGGGGCATCGGTGTACCCTGGGCTGTAGCTCAAGTGGTGGAGAGCTAGCCTGGCACAAAAAAATCCCAGGCTCTGAGTTCAAACCCCAGGACTGCTGCACACACACACACACGTAGGAAAGCTTTCACATATGGTCACCTCTATATAAGAAAAGGGATACAAGCCAGAACCCAGGTGCATATAAGCAATTGCCAGACCTAGTGGTGCCTGCTTTAATCTCAGCCACTTGAGAAACTAAGTCTGGAGTTTGATAGTTCATCTGGGCTAATTGACAGGATATGATGTTTTAAGGTAATTTTATTTGGAAGTGAATGTCATGAAAGAAAGTAGCAAGACTGTCCATCCTGAAGGGACGCCAAAGAGGAATCCCCCAATACAAAAAGGGAAGCTGAGTAAAAACTTGTGCTGTCTGTATATGACATCTAAAACTCAGATTTAAAACTAGATGTTTTTAAGACTTAATGACTTGAAAACTCCTGTGAGCAAGCACCAGGTTCCAGTGTAGGAAATTCTCTGCACAGATTGCCCCCATGTACATCAAAGACCTCACTCCACAAACCTCAGAAGTGCAGAGAATTTGGAAAGGCTTTGCAGCAGAAGTCAGACATTGGGTAATTCATGAAAATCCGCGGCTCTGAGAATGTGGAGGAGGTAGTGGGGCTGAGCTGTCACTCAGTGACAAGATGTCCTCGAATGTCAGTTACTTGTCCAATCACACTAGCTGAACCGTACTGTATTGTCGCCTTACTGGCTCAAATCAGCTTTTGGAAAAGTAGGAAAATTGCAGTACCTGAGTGTGCCTCTTTAAGATAGGACATTGGGAGAGGGATATTTTAAATTGTCACAAATTTCTTTGAATGTTAGAATTTATAACAGTTGAAAATGCCTCAAATTCAATGGATGAAATCCAACTTAGGTAATTTGAGTGTTAATCTATAGGAAGAATCAAATGTTGTGTTTTAAGCTCCTTGAGAGTATTCAGTGTTACACTAGCAAATAAATAGGGTGTTAATGACCTTTTCTGGCGTGCCTTGTGCTCTTTGTTGGGACGTCTGTGGGTTTCATGACTAGAAATTGGTCCTTGTTTAGGCCTAAACCCCTAGGACACATAGAGGTTGGCCAGGATGTCAGGTGGAAATGTGCACATCGCCTCTGCGATCATCTGTGTGGCTAGCTCACATCAACAAAAAAAAGGTCCCCAATTTAGTCAAGCACCTGTGGAGGCTGAGATCTGAGGATCACCGTTCAAAGCCAGCCCAGGCAGGAAAGTCCGTGAGCCTCTTACCTCCAATTAATCATCAAAGAGCCTGGGCGATGTCCCTAAACTCTTCAGCTCAAGGCTAGCCCTCTCCACTTGAGCCATAGCACACTTCCGGTTTTCTGGTGGTTTACTGGAGATAAGAGTCTCACAGACTTTCATGCCTGGGCTGGCTTTGAACTGAGACCCTCAGATCTCAGCTAGGATTTACAGGCATGAGCCACTGGCACCCGGCTGTGTTGTTTCTTTTTGCACCAATACTGGGGCTTGAACTCAGGGCTTGGGTGTTGTTCTTTAGCTTTTATTTGCTCAAGGCAGGTGCTCTACCACTTGAGCCACACACAGCTCAGGGACTTTTAGAACACTACTGGTCTGAATGGGAAATAGCCAGAGAGGGAGGAGAGATAGAGAGAGAGAGAGAGAAGATCTGACATGGTCCTCCAGTTTAAGCAGCAGAGAGCGCCAGCCTGGCAGCCAGTGGCCACACCTTCCCAGGAAAGGAAGAAGCAGAGAATCACCTGAGAATCACAGGGGAAAACAAGGGGAAAAATTAGTGCACCTATGGCTGGGGCACTATTTCTCTCCCTGGGCCCTGCCTCCAGACCCTCAAGAGAGTTGCAGACTTGCCAGACAGGTTCCAACAGTCCAAGTCCCACATTCTAGAACTATCTCCCAGGATATCTTTTCTGGCAGGCAGGCAGTTCTAAGAGACCAGAGTGGGAGTCTTTACTGATTTCCAGAGCCCCCTTCCCCCACCCCACTTCACCACCACCAAAGCCGGGAAGTGAGCTGCTGGGTGGGGCCTGACTCGGTGAGACCGACTCCAGGACCTCCATCCTGACAGGTGTTCACTCCTGACCCTCCGAGTGATGTGACTGCCAGGCCTCGCCTGAAGCCCACCTCCAGGATCTCCACTGTGACATAGATCTGCTTCCAGGTTGTCGCTTCTGAGGCCCCCACAACCTCCAGTCTCAGTCCTGAGTCTCCTTCCCCTACAGAGAATTGAATGGGGCTCCCCCACCCATAGATTTGGATGCTTGTTACTTCAGAAGACAAAATCTGGGGGGCTTGTGGAAGGACATGGAAAGGCTGTAAAAAAAAAAAAAAGTAGTTCCCATGGCAACTGGCAATGTCCAATGCACACAGAGATGAAGCTAACTAAGAGCAGGAAAGCAGCCCAGGAGCCGATGCCCAGTGCATCCACATGGCAACCAGGCTCATTTCCCTGCATCTGAGCAGGACCAGGGATCAGGGCAGTGCCCAGAGCCTGTGCGCAAATGCTGAGCTCCTGACCCATTCCCTTAGTCTAAGGAAGAGAATCATCACCTTCAACCCGGCTGCTGGGAATGGTGCAAAAGGACTTCTTCCATCTCATTTTAACCTGTTACTTCCTGCCCCTGCCCCGCCTTTTTCCCTCCCGGGCTCTGATGATGGCTGCCATTACACTCCACACCTCTGAGAGATGGACTTGTAGTGTCTGCTCGTGGGTGAGAACGTGGGGGTAACTGGTTTTTCCTGTATCAGCTTTATTTGTATTTATCTGTACAAAACAACCTCCAGCTCTATCCATAAGATGGACCAGAGAGCCAGGCACTGGTGGCTCACGCCTGTAATCCTAGCTACTCAGGAGGCTGAGATCTGAGGATCGCGGTTCAAAGCCAGCCCGGGCAGGAGAGACCGTGAGACTCCTATCTCCAATAAACCACCAGAAAACCGGAAGTGGCGCTGTAGCTCAAGTGGTAGAGTGCTTGCCTTGAGCTGAAGAGCTGAGGGATAACACTCAGGCCCAGAGTTCAAGCTCCATGACCGACAAAAAAAAAAGGATGGACCAGAGTCCTCATGACATTTTAACAACTTACATAAATTGCATAACTTGATTTTATAAGCATTTAAACCTTCTTGGGAAATTGTTTTTACCTGCACACGTGGAATCCCGCCAGTTGTACTCATTGATTTTTGTATGGCTGTATAAATCCAGCAAGTTAGGGTGCTTTGAATTTGTGTCAAGTTACTGTATGTCATTATCCTTGAATAAATTAAATAAAAGGGGAAAAACTCAAGTAACTGGGAACAAAAAGCACCAGTTAAAAACTCTTCACAAGGCTGGCACTATTACTGCTAATTAGAAACAAAGTAAAGGTCACATAGGGTTTCAGAGACAGTAGAATTAATGAAGGTGACTCACAAGACTAAATTCTGTTGCTAGGGTTGGAGGTATGGCTGGGTTGGTAGCGCAACAGCCAAAAGTTCAAACACTAGTCCCACATAACAAAAGAAAAAAGTCTTTTGTTTACAAACTAAAAGACTAACTTCAGTGGAGGTTTAATTATGCCCAGATGGAAAAGCACTATATTTGCTGACAACATGGTAAACAAGCCTTAGAACACAATGTATGGTCTCACAGCTAAACACAAACTCAGGAAGATATAGAGGATCTCAGGAAGACTCCGCCAGCACACCATTTGAGGATCTTGGTATTTTATTAGGATGTCTTCAGGAGACTAGAATCACTGACCACTAATTAAAGGGGGGGAAAGAACATAGTAAAACTGTAACAATCTGCTACTTGGCATTCTTGACATCTGATCTGGGGTCTGATGACAGCTACTTACTCTGTATAAGGGAGTTTATTTGTATAACTCTTAGAAAGGTTCCCTTCCAGCTATGCAGGAGGTGTGGGAAGAATAAATGTATTTATTAGCCGAAAATTGACTGGCTCTGGATTACATGCCTGGAAGGAAAGTCAGGAAAGTCAGGCTCTCTCCTGTGCCACCAAGTGATCATAAAGGTTAAAGTGACTCTTGAGGATAAAAAGATATACAAGGAACTGGGTGCTGGTGGCTCACACCTGTAATTCTAAGGAGGCTGAGATCTGAGCATCGCAGTTCAAAGCCAGCCCAGGCAGGAAAGGCCATGAGACTCTTATCTCCAATAAACCAGCCAGAAAACCAGAAGTGATGCTGTGGCTAAGTGGTAGAGCACTTGCCTTGAGCTGAAGAACTGAGAGACAGCGCCCAGCCAGGCCCAGAGTTCAAGACCCAGGACTGGGGGGAGGGGGGGGAGGAAGGGGAGGGAATATATAAGGGATGAACCAGGTACTGGTGCTCATGTCTGTAATCCTAACTATGTAGGAGACAGAACTTCCCAGGCAGAAAAGTCTGCAAGATGAAAGAAAAAAAGGAAGGAAGGAAGGAGAGGGATGGAGGGAGGGAAGGAAAGGAAGGAAGGAAGGAAAGTAATGGTAACATTTAGAAAATGAGAGGACATTTCATTTGGGGAAATAGGAAGAATTCTATTTATGGAAAACACTAGACATTTCCAGACAGCAACAGGAAGATAACTTAAAAAAAATTAATTCCATCCGCCAGTCCTCAACTCTCTTACATCAGCCAATCCTCAGCCCTCTTACATCAGCCAGTCCTCAGCCCTCTTACATCAGCTAATCCCCAACCCTCTTACATCAGCCAATCCTCAGTCCTCTTACATCAGACAAGTCCAATCCCCAGCCCACTTACACCTGGATGAAAATTGCCCAGCCTTCCATTAGTACAGACAGAATGGGAGAAGGAATCCATGTCCATACCAATGTGTGCTGTGCCTGTTCAATGTCAGATGCTGCTAAAATTGTTAACACAAAACCTAAATTGTTTCCTGTGGCATTGCAGGTCGTCCCTGAGTCTAAGGCCAAATCACAAGCTTCTGTCCTCGTTGCCCGCAGGTGGAGGTGCAAACCCCTGACCCCTGACCCCAGCCACAGCACTGTGGGACACACCTCGCAGTCTGCAGGGACTAGAACACACCAGCTGGATGAGAGAATCAAACCCAACGAGTAGCCAGGCGCCGGTGGCTCACGCCTGCCATCCTAGCTACTCAGGAGGCTGTCTGAGGATCAGAGTTCAAAGCCAGGCCAGGCAGGAGAGTCCGTGAGACTCTCTATCTCCAATGAATCCCCAGAAAACTGGAAATGGTGCTGTGGCTCAAAGTGGTAAATAAATAAATAAGTAGACTCAGTGAGATGTTCATGTCTGGGTTCATTTAGGAAGACAAAGTAAGATGCTGATACAGGAAATAGTGACGGAGATTTAAGGTAGAGTTTACCGGTGAAGCGTGAGCTGGACACACATGAGGTTCTGAAACTCAACGCCCAACACAGAAAGCAAGAGAGGAGAAAGATGAAAGAGGGAAGGGGAAAGGGAGGGGAGGGAAAAAGAAGAAAGGAGGGAAAGAAGGAAGGGAGGGAGAGAGAGAGGAAGGGAAGGAAAGGGAAGAAGCAAGACACAAGACAGTAATCTGATTATTTGGGAGACTGAGGCAGGGCAATCATGGTTCAAAACTAGCTTAAAGTGAGACCCTGTTACAACGAAAACCAAAAGAAAAGAAAAAATGGAAGCACACATGAAAAACAGTCATCTCTGATTATTGTGTATTATAAGAATCATTCAAATACCTTAGTTACAGCTTTTTTAATAGAAATACTACAACTCATGACTATTCCTTTTTTTGTTTTGTTTTGTCTGTTGTGGGGCTTGAACTCTGGGCCTGGGTGTTGTAGCCTCAGCTCTTCAGCTCAAGGCAAGCATTCTACCGCTTGAGCCACAGCACCACTTTTGGTTTGCTAGTGCTTGGGCTGGCTTTGAACTGTGATCCTCAGATCTCAGCCTCCTGAGTAGCTACGATAACAGGCATGAGCCACCGGTGCCCATCTATTCCTTTATTAAAAGAAAAGTAATGTGACATAATATATGTTACTTGGAAGCAAGTATTCTTGTGTGTGTGTGTGTGTGTGTGTGTGTGTGTGTGTGTGTGTGTGTGTGTTGGTCCTGGGGCTTGAACTCAGGACCTAGGGTGGTTGCTGTTCCTATGCTCTCTCGCTCAAAGCTACTGCTCTACTACTCGAGCCACACTCCACTTCTGGCTTTGTGGGGGTCAATTAAAGATCAGAGTCTCACAGACTTTTCTGACCAGGCTGGCTTTGAACCACAGTCCTCAGATCTCAGCCTCCTGAGCAGCTCGGATGACAAGCCCGAGCCATGGAAGCCCAGTGGAATCTACTATTCTTAAGAACTCCATGCTGTTTGACATTCTGAAATGTGAATTAATAAATGCCTCTGATCTGAGTATGGAGTAATTTGAGGGCAAGTAGGAAATCACCAACAAAGACAATGGTTTTTGAGAAAGCCCAAGGAACACGCTGCTTAGGAGTGAGGCCTCCTTGAATTTGCCTAGAAAGTTGAAGATGGCAAAGAAATGGAAAATCAGAAGCAATGAGAAAGATCAAGTTCTGTTCCCCTATCGGCTGAAGAGGACCACCATTTTGAACCCCCAAACAGTCCAGCCATTCTATCGTGAGCACTTACTTCTACTGGGACGGATCGACTACTTCTTTTCTAGTCGCCCTCCAGGAGAGAATTCTCAGGGCCCTCTTGATGTCTTTGTTCCTCAGGCTGTAGATGAAGGGGTTCAGCATGGGGGTGACCACTGTGTACATCAGTGAGGCCGTGGCCGTTGCGTGTGAGTTTTGAGTCACCGCCGAGCTGAGGTACACACCCAGGAGCGTGCAATAAAACAAGGAGACCACGGAGAGGTGCGACGCACAGGTGGAGAAGGCCTTGTACTTCCCCTGGGCGGAGGCGATTTTGCAGATGGCTGACACGATCTTAGAGTAAGAATAAATGATGCCGGCGAAGGGGCCCACAGCGAGCAGCAGGGCGGTGGCGTAGATCACCAGGTCATTAAGGAAGGTGCCAGAACACGCGTGGTGGACCACCTGATTCAGTTCACAGAAATAGTGAGGGATTTCAAGCGCTCTACAGAAGGTCAGCCGCAAGACCAGGAAGGTATGGAGCAAGGAGTTGAGGACGCCTACGATCCAGCATCCCAGAGCCAAGAGGCCACAGAGCCGGGGGCTCATGATGACCGTATAGTGCAGGGGGTGACAGATGGCCACGTACCTGTCATAGGCCATCACGGTCAACAGGAAGATATCCAACCCAGAGAAAAGCAACAGGAAGTACATCTGGGCAATGCAGCCCGCGTAGCCGATGGCCTGGCTGCGCGTCTGGAGGTTGAGCAGCATCTTGGGGACAGTGGTGGAGGTGAAGCAGACGTCCACCAGGGACAGGTTAGAGAGGAAGAAGTACATGGGCGTGTGCAGACGGGGGTCTGCCATGATGGCCAGGACAATGAGCAGATTGCCGAGCACGGTGATCAGGTACACAGACAGGAACAGCCCAAAGAGGAGAGGGTGGATTCGTGGGTCTTGGTTGGAAAATCCCAGAAGAAGGAATTCTGAAAGTTGGGTGCCATTCCCTGGTTCCATGTGCTTGAGATGACTACCACCACCATCGCCCCCCAAAACATGACATTAAAAAAGAAAAAGAATATGAGTATGCATGAATCACTTGCCATAAATGTTGTCTTTTATGGCCTCTCACATCCTGGGCCAGCACTGCATCACCAAGCCACACGCCTCCTCTAACCCTCTATAAATCAAGAAATTAGCCAGGCGCCAGTGGCTCACACCTGCCATCCTAGCTACTCAGCAGGCTGAGATCTGAGGATCACAGTTCAAAGCCAGCCAAGCAGGGAAGTCCATGAGACTCTGATCTCCAATGAACCACCAGAAAACTGGAAGTGGTGCTGTGGCTCAAGTGGTAGAGCACTCGCCTTGAGCTGAAGAGCTGAGGGATGGTTCCCAGGTCCGGAGTTCAAGCCCCACAACCAACCAAAAAAAAGCGGGGGGGGGGGAAGAAGGGGGCAGTGGGAATTTAAAAACACTCCATTGCCACTGCACAGAAGCAAAGGATTTGAACAACTTGTAATTCACACAGTCAGTGGCTCACAAGATCACACACAGATTTCGACTCATCAACCAGAATTTAATTGAGGTGAAATTTTGTTGATCTGCCCTTTACTTCACCCACTAATTGCTCCTCCTCTAACTTCCCTGAGAGACAGTAATTGCACAATGTAACCCCTGTGGACCGCAATTGCAAGGCCCAATTTGCAAGCGACCTCCACTGCTGATCGATATTTCAGCATCCTCAAATATACTCGGCCATAAAAACACTAAAGACAAGCCAGGTGACCGGTGGTTCATGCCTGTAATCCCAGCTGCTCGGGAGGCTGAGATCTGAGGATCACAATTTCAAAGCCAGCCTGGGCAGGAAAGTCCATGAGACTCTTTGTCAGAAGTGGTGCTGTGGTTCAAATGGTAGAGCACTAGCCTTGAGCCAAAGAAACTCAGGGATAGTGCCCCAGCTCTGAGTTCAAGCCCTGGGACACACACACACACACACAAATACACACGCCATGGAGGTGTGATCAAGTGAGAACTCAGTTCAGCATCGATCCCTGCCAGTGTCTGTTCCTCGGCGTCTATCCTTACAATGGCAAAAGCCATCATCAGCCTTACTGTCCTTGTGCCTGAGCCGCATTATACGTCCAACCTGCTCTTTGATCCCCACCGCTGTCACCCACCCACCCGCCATCACCCTGGCCAGATACATCTCGCTTAGCAGTGCAGACATCTTCCTGGTGACCCAGGCCCTCACAGACGCCGGAGCCAGCGAACCCTCCCCCAGGGGTGAGCTCGCCAGGGTTCAGCTGAGCTGGACACACTGCCCAGGCAAATCTGCTCTGGTTCCGCCATCCCCTGACCCCCCTTCCCCCATAGCTGGTGCGGCCTTGGACTCACCTGGATGGAGGCCTCTCAGAAGGGAAGCCTCTGGGGAGAGGCCGCTGTGCTCTTGATGCTGGGGTGGGGGAGGAAGATCTGCCCCCAGAGGAGATGGCAGGATGGGGCGAAGGCTTCCTGTCCCCAGGACAGACTCGGGACACCAGCAGTAAGAGGACAATGTCTCACAGAGCTCAAGGTTAGACATGCTGAAGGACCGGAGAGGAGGGGGTATTTGTAACCCCCAGTCCCCTCTCCCTCGGCTAGATTTTCCTTCATGCGGCTCCAACACCTGAGCGCACTGGCAGGTCCCTGTGGGACCTTGCAGGGAAAATGATCCCCGCAGAGTCTTCATCCTCAAGAGACCAGGCTTGGAAATAAAACATAATAAAAAGAAACAAACCAGGTGAAGGCCATCTTTGCTGCCCCTCTGCATCACGCTCTCTTGCTTTTCTGAAACGCGCTCAACCCCTCAACTAATTTGCATTTCCCCCAAAAAAATAAAATAAAATCTCCAATTAAGGAACCTGTCTGCCCCAGGCCCCTTCAATCACCAAGGGTTCCAGAAATTTCATTGTAATTCTCTATGTGGCAATGAGGAGAGCTGGGTTCCTTTGATGTGAAAACATCGTGTCACAGGCATTTTGTAAAAATTTAAAAAAAAAAAAAAACCTCACAAGTATGTCTTCCTCCATTCCATTTTTTATACTTACTGCAGGTATGTGTGGATGGTTTGATAAACATTGCTCAGGCATCCATAGATTGCACTATCATTTATTTAACTTACATAAAGTATGATTAGAATACTGACTAGAAGGGCTGGGAAGGTGGCTCAGTGGTAGAGCGCTTGCCTTGCATGCCTGAGGCCCTGGGTTCAATTCCTCAGCACCACATAAGCAAAAAGAAAAAAAAAGCCAGAAATGGTGCTGTGGCTGAAGTGGTAGAGCCCTAACTTTGAGCTGAAGAGCTGAGGGACAGTGCCCAGGCCCAGAGTTCAGGCCCCACGACTGGACCCCAAAAAATAAAAAGAATATTCACTGACTGGAAGCTGGGCACCAGTGGCTCATGCCTGAAATCCCAGCTACCCAGGAGGCTGAGATCTGAGGATCACAGTTAAAAGCCAGCCTGGGCAGGAAAGTCTCCGAGAAACTCTTATCTCCAATTAACCACTCAAAAAAAAAGCCAGAAGTAGAGCTGTGGCTCAAGTAGTAGAGCACCAGCCTTGAGCATAAAAACACTCAAAGACAGCACCCAGGCTTTGAGTTCAAGCTCCAGCACCTGCACAAAGGGAGTCCTTTGGGGTGATTTTTAAGCATGTGGTATATTATGATGGCTGATAATTTTGTGGGGAACATCGGGGCGGGGAGGCGGGGCCGCGGGGGACGGGGAGATGTTGAATTCAAAGCCAGAAAAGGAAAGCTCAGAATTTCACCTCTTAAAGAAAAAAATATGTATTCACATATTTATTAACTTTTTCATTGACAAGTTTTTTATTTTGGTTTTGCATCACCAGATATTTGCAGTTTGAGGCGTTTGGTTGTGATATATTTTCACCGATGCACAAATTCCTCTCCCCCCCCCCGCATAATCCATTCCTTTCTCTCATTTATAATTGTATTGTCTTGAAGTAGTTGTACAAAAGGGTTTCCATTAAACATATCCATTTATGAGCTCCATGCATCGTGATCAGTGTCACCTTTCCCCTCCTCCTCCCACCCCATCTATCTCATTTATAATTTCCATTAAACTTCTATTTGATGAGAGTTGTAGATTGGCATCATTTGTAAGAACTAACACAGAAAGAGCCAGGCACCGCTGGCTTGTACCTGGAATCCTAACTACTCAGGAGAAGGAGATTCTGAGGATCGAGGTTCAAACTTGGCCCAGGGAAGAAAGTCCATGAAAACTCTTATCTCCAATTGATCACCCAAAAAAAAAAAAAAAGCTGGAAGTGGAGCTGTGGCTTAAATGGTAGAGCACTGGCCTTGAGCAAAAAAAAAAAAAATTCTCAGGGAACAGCACCCAGGCCCTGAGTTCAAACCCTAATAATGACACCAAATAAAATTATGTAAGTAACCTTACCAATTGTGGGCTTTTTTTCTTGTGTAATAAAACCCATGATTATTGTTTTTCAGTGAATATTATTCAATATGTGTTATGTAGGAGGGATGACTGTAAAGTGTTGCTGCTCGGTTATATAAAAGGGAATTTCTGCCATCATATTTGGAACAATGGTAACTTATCATGTCTCCTGCTAATATTTCTGGTGCAAATCTTGGACTAAATTTGGGAAATCAGAAGGGTTGGACAAACAGTTGGATATCAGACAGACCAGATAGCTTTAAAAACTAAGTACCCAGGATCTGGGCACGCCGGTCACCTGGGAGGCTGGTGATGGGAAAGGGATTTCTTCCCCCAGCACGAAGGCAAAATGTTAGACCCCCATCATCCACCATGTGGCCAAGTTGGCGCCGGCCAGACCTGAACCTCGTGACTTCAGGACTAGAATAAAGGTCTTGTGGAATGTAGTCACAAAGAGTTGTCTGATTTCTGTAACAAGCTGGAGACTGTACAGCACAGCTAGACGCCCTGAAGCCTAGTTCTCCATCACCTTCCTGCCGCTTCACTATTCTGCACTGAAGGGAAATCGCCCGGTTATATATTCTGGAGGTTTCAGTGACTTTCCTCCTACAAATTATATGGCTTACCATTTGGGGGGTTTTGTTGTTGTTGTTTTTGCTAATTGTGGGGTTTGAACTCTGGGCCTGGGCGCTGTCCCTCAACTCTTCAGCTCAAGGCTAGCGCTCTACCACTTGAACCACAGTGCCACTTCTGGCTTTTTTCTTTTTGCTTATGTGGTGCTGAGGAATCGAGCCCAGGGCCTCAGGCTTGCAAGGCAAGCGCTCTACCACTGAGCCACCTTCCCAGCCCCAGGCTTACCATTTTTTAAACAAGTTGACGGCCACGGCCTGAGGAATCATTGTCAGGAGCACGTTCTCGGCCTTTGTGAGCCAGTTGCAATGGTTATGAGGGCTTTCAGCCTAAAGAAGTCAGAGGTGGGTTGGGAAGGTAGCTCAGTGGTAGAGTGCTTGCCTTGCATGCAGGAGACCCTGGGTTCGATTCCTCAGCACCACATAAGCAGAAAAAGCCAGAAGTGATGCTGTGGCTCAAGTGGTAGAGCGCTCACCTTGAGCTGAAGAGCTGAGGGACAGCGCCCAGGCCCAGAGTTCAGGTCCCACAATCGGGGGTTGGGGAGGGGGAAGAAGTCAGAGGTGAAGACTGTATTGTTGTTCTGTGTTTAACTGCTTCACTGCCTTACCTGCTTATTTTGTACATGCTTGATGCTACCTCTGTCATCAAGGTGGGTCCACAGATAGAGTATAGCAGAATGCAGAACTTGAGTGATCATGTTAGTATCACTGAAAAAGCGATCACTCCCCATGAGACACATTGCATGCATTTTCCTATGATAAGTGTATTTGGCTTTATAAATAATATAGGAAAAGCATTTAAAGTAGATCTAATAGTATTCGTTCTCTTGGGGGCTTCTCTGGACTCTTGAATTTTTCTGAGTTTAATGAGTTAATCGAAGCTTAGGTTTTGTGTGCTTTTTTTGAACTGCCAATGAATGATTCACTTCATAA